CATTTGATTAATTTAGATTAACTAAAGAATTGTGTATTTTGTAGCCAATACCAAGCCAACATATCTTCATGTTTATAGCATATTTATCAATTAATGGGTTAAAGTAAGCCACACCAAGGGCATATTTATCCACAATCGCCTTTCAGTGCAAACTTTTAGGGGGTATTGACCCCAACAAGCATGTCTTGGTTGGTAAACTCTTGGAGGGTTTTAAAAGGGCAAACCGTGAAAGAGACACCCGTATGCCCATTACTTTGGACATTCTTAATCGAATTCTAGATAAGCTACATGTACATGTAGTTTGTCACGATTCCTACGAAACTAACTTATTTGCAGCTGCTTTTTCACTGGCTTTCCATGCCTTGTTAAGAGTAGGGGAATATACTCTTTCTAAAGGAAATTCAAGCAGTAAAATTATTCAAGTCGAACATCTGGTGATTCAAATTCGGTAATAAATTTGCTTATCAGATATTCAAAAACTGACCAATATAATGTGTAGGAACATCACTGACCATTAATGCTACTAAACAATTATCCTGCCCAATTAAAGCAATGAGTAGATATCTACAGATACGTCCAAGCGTCCCAGGCCCGCTCTTCTGTCATTTCTCTGGCAAAACCCCAACTCGTTTCCAGTTTTCCGCTGTATTATCAAAAACTTTAAACATATTTGGCATAGATAGTAAGCGTTATAAATCAAATTCCTTCGGAATAGGGGCCGCAACAATGTTAGCCCAACAGGGAACATGGGAAGATGCTATATAAGCTTCAGGTCTTTGGCGCTCGCACACTTATAAATCTGACATCAGGTAAGGCTTAATAAGTACAAATCCCTTCCCCAACATTCAACCATACACATGTCCCTAGGTTAATTGGTTATTTAACATTTTACCTGTATTGAGATTATTTTACAATGCTTATTTGGGTGGCTATTTACATAATGCTGATACAATCAAGTGGTTCAGAGCCAGTAAACGTGTGGATCCTAGGATTTTCCATCATCAAGAGGGCTGCAGTCACTGCCACCTGTAGGACGGGTGGCATGAACCTTTCCATACAACAAACAAACATTAAGTGGCAAGGTTACATCGGCATGAAACTTTTGCATCTCCCTAATCTCAAGTATTCAAAGAATTTAAATCTAGAAAACGCCCTGTGAATTATCATTATTCATTGTGATACTAACAATATACAATGTAGGTTCATCACAGTTAAGGTGCCTGCTATGTTTTTAATCAAACACATACTGTGTGAATGTAAAGTTTTATTTTCTAATGCTAAACTAGTTTGGTCTTGCACCCTTACTAGAAGAGTGTGGCGTTTTACTTCAAATATTCGCTCTATAGATAAAGTCAGAACAAGATTAGACAGAGTGGCAATTAGAACAACAGCTCCATTCGGGGGGGAGGGGGTCATTTATTAAAAATCCACAGTTAGACAGCAGCTTTGCACACCTATTGTCACTTGTCACCTGTAGGAAGCGATTTGTTCCTGAACAACATACAAGGAGCAATAGAACATTTTTTTATGTTGTCATTTAAATAAGTATGAGCCATATTGATTTTCTGGGGAAGGGAATGGTCAGCGGTGACAGTTTGAGGTGGGTTGCCGACTCCTTCACCAATATGTGGATCACTCATTGGTGTCGGATGCACTTGCATGCCCACCTCAAATGGATGTGTCAACCTGTGGCGCTATTTGAACAATTTGTCGTAGCGCTGTTTGCGCAATTTATTGCATCTTATAGATTTCAACATATATTTGAACAATTGTGTAATGCATCGCTAATTCAGTTTATATCTAATGTTAATTGGATTTTCCCGTTAAACAACTTTAGGACTGAAAATTTATCACATTTGATGGGATATTGGCCCATATTGTACATTTAAATTTGATAACTTTGTCAATGGGATATTAACCCACTGTGTATCACATGTTATTTTTGTTGCATTGTGCATTTGTGAACTTACTACCCAGTGCACAATTCAGCCCGTTTGGGGTCGTCACTTGTATTGTTCATTGTTTGGGGACGACCATGCGGCCGCCCCAAAGATTCACTGCGACCAGATACGCCAATATTCAATAAATTCAATCTTTACAAAAAAGGAGTGGTGTTAATTCTTTCTTAGATCTAAGATAATGAAGAGTATTCAATCTCAAAGTCCTCAAAACAATACAGAAAAGGAGCAGAGCAAACACGGACCTCCGAAACATCAATGGTGGGAATAGGTGCCATGGAGGAGAGAGCATTCCCTGCTGATCGGTTACACTCATCGTGTGCTCCTTGTCATGATCAGGAAATAACGGTAAAAATCCATCCTCAATTCAGTGCATAAATAATGGACTAACAATTAGTATAAAGCAAGGTCGTTCAGCATTTGACTCGATGATAAATTGTATTTGCTGACAAGGTCATTGTATCTACCACAGAACTTAGAATTTAAACGAGACTGTTGATGTTCTTTTATCTTTGTACTAATAACGATTAAACAAAATAGCATTACAATTTTATGAAAACTTCAATGAAGAAAGATATCAAATATTAATATTGAAAAGAAATCTGCACATCAAAAAAAAAAAAAAATGATAGCACGCAAACTAAACAACAGATGGTGAGTACAACATTAAATCATAACTGATATGATTCAATTGTCAACATTTGGAGGTATTGATTTTATTTTTTATTATAAAAACGTGAACCATTTATACATTTTCAGGAAGGAGGATGAAGATATTCTTTGAAGAAAATGCATTTCACAACTGAGTATTTACTTTTCTTGGTGATTTTCAGCTTTATAGCAGGTCAAATTCGCATGGGTATGTATATGCTAGAATACATGTAATGATCTGTTAGAGGAAGAAATGATCATTACAGAACGTTCATTACGAAAATACCTTTAAATAAGCATATTGACAATTTAAGTCATCATTTCTTAGCAGTACAATAAAATCTAAAAATTGAAAGTTATATTATAATTATTCTTATATTTTAAAATAGCTGAAGACAGAAAACTGATATCTGATCATGTAGAATACATGTATATAAAATGTACATCTTACTCAAAACATTGCCATTGTTAGGACTGTTTTAATTAGTTAAAAGGAAGAGTGAAGCGTTATGAATTTAGGACGATGTAAAAGCTCGATGTACTCCTTTTTCTTTTGAAAAGGCCTTGCTAGTCTTTAAATATGAATCAGATCAAGGATTAGAAAGGCAGTGGTGAATTCTTATTGCGCCTCAGAGTAAAGTGAATCGATATACACAATTACATTTACTTTATTTTTACACCAGTCTGACATTGAATGTGTACTTCTTTTCTAATAAATTTGTTATCTTTTATTGCTGCTTTTTAGCAAGAATAGAAAGTCAATTAAGCTTTTAAAAAAATAAATTGTTGAATGTATTTACGTCTTTTTAAGACAAAACTCGTATAATAAAATTATTTTCATTTATTTAATTTCAATCTTGTGTGATAAACGTTAATTAAATATCCATAGTTCCAATTATTATATATATAAATGTCGATATTGATTTTTCTTGTACATGTATTCATATTTTTGGTGCGATATAAATTTAAACTTTTTGTCTCATTCTTAATGTCTTCCTGAACACAATATGAATTTTTTTACCATGTTTTCCTGGATAATGTATAACCATGTTTTAACAAATACAAATTTAATTCAATATTAAAGTAGATATAAGAATTTTGATAAAAAAAAGTTACATGCAGACTGCAGAAAAAGCATCAGAATTTCAACAAAAAATTGAAAATATTCGTGGAAGTTACAAGATTTTCTCATTTGTCTGTCGAATTGTTTCTCTGTCAGTCTGACTACAAAAAAAACTCTTATCTTGATCGCGACATTGAATTGGAAACAAATAGTCTCATTTCATAAATACAGTGTACATTATCTGTGACAAGATTTATACCCTAATTCTTGATCTGTTACCCTTAATTTTAACCAAAAAAATTTCAAAAAGGAAAGGCAGAGCATTCAATATGACTTGTGTATCACCTGTGACAAGTTTAAACATACATGCCATGTTTTTTTAACCCATGGCCTTGGCCTTGAAGAATGATAAAGACTTTTAACATTGAAAACATCATTTGAATGTCAGAAGGACTATCATCTTTTGATTTTACCCTTATGACCTTGGTCCGGATGTTTGACTACATTTTCCAATATCTCAACATTGCTGATAATTTTTGAATGAGATATAATAAAATATTACATTTAGGATTTGCATATTTAGGCCATAATCGTTATTTTTATTTTAAGGGAAATACTGGGCAAGATACAATTCAAATTATTTGAATATAAGAAACAAGTTATAGTGCAATGATCAGTCATATATGTATTTACAATTTTTTGCACTAAAAGATAAATGGTGATTACTTTTTCAACTTTTTAGATAACATAAGAACTACCTGCTATAATGGATGGGTGCCTTACAAAAGAAGTTGTTATTTTTATTCAACATCCAGAGCTACATTTAAAGATGCAATGGTAAAAGTCGATATAAGGTTCTGATATGATTGTGCGAACAAAATAAATGACATGCATGATGTTTTCTAAGAAAACATCATTGAGTATTAATTTTCTCTGAATACCAATCAAGAAATTATAAATATCCTTTTGAGCATCAACCTTTACGTGAAAAGAAAAAAAAAACGCTTTCTTCCTTAATACGAATGTGATGTTATATTTATTAATAAGGTTTTAAAAGCATCTATCCCTATGAGCATTTCTTAGAGTAATATATTTTTTTGGAAATATTTATCATTAAAAGCGTAAACAAAACATTTATCAGTTCATGCATTTCTTATTCAACAGCTTTTTAGAAAGGAAGATGAAAAAGAGAATAACTTTAATTTATTAAATTCAAACATATTTATTAAATCTATTCAAGTTGACTCTTATTTTTACTTAAAAATCGTAATTTTATTCTTCTGTAAAGTAATGATCAAAATTAGAATAGTATTTGTTACATTGTATAGTCAGCATGTTATGGGATGGGCGCAGAAATGTTGGAACTACAAAATGCAATTGAAGAAAAATGGTTTGATCTCCAATTCCGACTACGAGGTATATTTTGTAATGTTGTGTAAAATTTACATGAACTAGAATTTTTAACGATGAAAAAAATGAATAATTATTTTTTTAAATGTTTAAAAATGAAATGAATATTTTATTTATATGAGCATTGTTTGTCAAAATTTGATGGACAAATATTTTCAATATAATTATGTTTACTATAAATGTTAAAGTCAAGACTACGTTTGAGTTAAGTTAAACAAACTTTTAGTTGATTTGTAACATTAAATGACGATTAATTGTCATGATAAGGTTATCAAGACCAGGTCTGGCTCGGTGCAAGTGATATCCAGCAAGAAGGAAAGTTTGTTTCTGTTTCAAATGCAGAGAGACTACATTACAGCCACTGGATAAGTGGGCAGCCAAATAACTCTGGAGGACTAGAACATTGTGCTACATATTGGATTCCAAAAAGAGGGATGAATGATTCACCATGCAATCTCAAGTTTAATTATGTCTGCAAAAAATAAAAATTGTTTTTGAACCAAAGATTTTATTGATTATGTACTCCTCACAAATTTGCTGTCATGTGAGAAAAAGATATTGCTTCATAAGAATAGTTAAAGTGTAGATTACTCAGGAGAATAATACATATAATACACAATCTTTATTACAATTGTCTGATATATTTCGCCTTTATACAAATTTTTACAATTTTGCAAAAATTCTTTCATTTTCTTTTTCGATATATCTTTTAGCAATTGCTTTTACTTACAATGCTCTGTCCAATTTTTTTTTTACTAATAGAGCTTATGTTTATTGCAAGAGAAATATTTCCAAACCTTACAAATTTAAAGAGAAACATGTCATTCTTACAATTCTATACAGGAATAACACCTACTTGATTAGAATATTGCTCAAAAAAGTAGGTGGCGTTCAAACGGAAAGTAAAAATACCTGGATCATATAAGTATCGGAAAAGGGTTTCTATAAAGAAAATAAGAAAGTTTTAGTATTTCTGACCAGAACTGGTGATAGGACGTTTAAAAGAGACATATAAGCTCTGACAAATGCTCCAGAGCGTTAGGGATGCTTGAAGCTTGCAAAACGTAACGTCACACTGCATAAGACTTCATGTTTCCTAAGGCGTAATTAACCTTTTATTACGTGTCACAGAAAGCTTACGTTGGGACGTCAAAGAAGTACGACCGTCCATGGGGACCGTTTTTTGGTCAATTTTGTAAAGAGACACTGCCTTAAAAGTATTTAAAAGTTCGATTCTTAGCTTCAGAGAGCATGGGGTAGACTTATTTCAACTGAAACAGTTCACAACTGACTTCGTTAAGCAAATCTCTAGACTTGCTGACCAGCAGTTTGTCATGTATTAAAAATAGGACGTAAATGCTCGGTCTCATAGAAACCTTTTCATTCCGGTAATTATTTTTCTGATATAATTCGTCTCTTCTGGAAAAAAGGTCTACATCCTTGCATAAGACGTAAAATATGAAGATCCTAGCAATTATTTTTCAAAAAGTTATGTCAAAAATGGGCCACATTGAAAGATCTCGACCAAAAGAATATTATGTATATCCAAAGAAAAAAATGCAATGTAGCAGAACGAATTTATATGATAAGAAAGTCCTAGAACCAACTGTTGAAAAGTAATGATCAAAGTTTCTTGCTAAATTGAGTCAAGGTTAAATATGTTGGAACCCAGAAAAGGACGTACCATAAGAACACACGCTGTGAAATAAGCACATTTGGGAGAAGAAAATTTGTTTGACGATCATTTAAAAGTGTCTTGGGCATATATCTTGGTGTTTTACATGCAACAAGATGTGTTTGTAAAACACTAATGCACCCTGTATGACAACATAGCAAAGATTAAGCTTGTCTTAAATGCAAATTTAATTAATTGGTACCAAAAGTTGGTTATTCTCACTAGGAAACAATTGTGAAATTTAAAAAAAAAAGCTAATGTTAAAGTTTTTATTAAAAATTACAAAAATCTCCAATGTCAAGGTCAAAAGGTCAATGTAATTAGTATCAAATGAAAGGTCTTGCCACGTTAAATACTTTTGTACAGCATGAAAGCCCAAACCCTAACCGTTCAGAAGGTATGGTCAACGTTCAATTTCTTAAAAAGTAGGTCAAACTCCAAGGTCAAGTTCAAAGTTATTGTTATCAAATGAAAGGTCTTGTCATAAGGATCAAATATGTAAAGTATGAAAGCACTAGCCCTAACTCTTTAAAAGTTATTGTCAAGGTTTGCTTTTTTTTGAATTAGGTCAATCTCAAAGGTCAAGGTCAAAGGGTCAAAGTTTTCAATGAAATGTCTTCTCACAAGAATTACATGTATGAAGTATGAAAGCCCTATCCCTTACCGTTCAAAAGTTATGGCCAAGGTTAAAGTTTTTTCACAAGTAAAGAAATCTACCAGGTCAAGGTCAAAGAGTCAAAGTTGTTGGTATCCAGTGAAAGATCTTTTATCAAACATGACATATGTGAAGTATAAATGTCCTGGTGTCTACTGTTCAAAAGATATGGCCAAAGTAAAATTCTAAAATTTTCATGTAAAAGTGGGTCAAACTCCAAGGTCAAGGTCAAAAGATTAAATTTGGTGGTACCTAAAGAAAGGTCTTGCCACAAGGAATAAACATGTGAAACATGAAAGTCATAGCTCCACAAAATCAAAAGTTATGGGCAAGGTTAAAGTTTTTGTGGACAACAGACAAAGAAAGAGACAGAGAGACAGACAGACAGACATGACAAAAACTATATACCCCCAAAACTTCGTTTACGGGGGGATAAAAATTACTATACAGCTGAAATAGTCATTTCTTATGATTATTTAAAATATAAAAAAAGCTGTGTCAAAATTCCTAGCCTAGATTTTTTGATGTGATAAATATTGCTACAATTACCACTAATATAACACTAATCAAAACAATAATGAACAGAGACCAGTCCATACCGTCATGAAAAGAAATTAAAAAAACATTTTTTTTTTTAGTTTTTTTGGAATGAAGATTAAAATTTGGGTGTTAAGTTTCAAACGGGGTCATGATTTGATAAAAAAAAAAAAAACTTCAATTAACACTACTTGATGATAATTCCATATAAACATGGCAAATCATGGTTTTGCTGCTCTTGAGAAGATATTTAAAGATTTACCATATATATTTCTATGTCAAACTTTGATCGTCTCTTGTGGCCCCGCCTTACTTCCTGGGGCTATGATTTCAACAACTTTTAATCTACACTACCTGAGCATGACCAATCATGGCTTTGCTGTTTTTGTGAAAAAAATTTTCATTTTCCGCCTGTGTATTTCTTTGTTAAACTTTAATTGTCCCTTGTCGATCATCTTTCTCCGAAGGTCAGGATTTGAACAAACTTCAATGAACACTACCTGAGATGCTTATATATAATTATGACCAATCAATTTGCTGTTCTTTCAAAGAAGATTTTTTTGAATGTTTTACTATACATTTCTATGTTTAAATTTTATTTTTCCTTGTGCCTCCATCCTACTTTCGCAGGTCATGTTTTCAGCAAATTTTATCTTACACTACCTATAAGTTTCATCTTTCCTTCTTTACAAATAAATTTTCAAAATATGTCCGAAATGTTTATCTATTTCTCGTAAATGATCTAGCCTTGAATTATGGCGTGACCCTCTATTTAAATAAAATTAAGTTCCATTTACCCGTAGATGGTTTTTGATCAATAGTTAAAAATATGAAAAATTGAAAGACAGTAAGACAGACGGACTACATATAATATGATTAAAAAAGGTTAACTTTGAATCAAAAGAGGAGCAATTAAAAATCTCCAAAACAAGGCGGAATAAGGAACCATGAAGAAGACAGCAACCCCTGCCTACCGGTAACACCCACTGTTCGATATTTAGAAAAGTATATAATTATAAGGTTAGAAATAATATGAAACTGTCTTTTTATTTCTAATCTTATAACCGATCCATTGTTTTATGGTCATAAACCAAACACTTTTTTTAAAAAAGTCTAAATGAAATTTTCTTCTATACTTTTCCACGCTTCTACCTTTATCATAGCTAAATATAATTGTCTATCAGTGACATTTATTTTCTGACAAGACTTTAAAAGAATTATCACACAATAATTATATTGTTTTCTTTCTCTGATCAAAAAGATATACCGGGGTATATATTTTACAATATATAGTTAGCATGCTATCTAATGGGAGCAGAAATGTTAGAACTTCAAAATGCAATGGAAGAAAAATGGATTATTCTCCAAGTCTGGCTACGAGGTAAATGTATTAAATTTGTTTGATGTAAAAATATGAGTATTTTAATTAGTCAAAGAAAAACGTCATGCTGATTTTCGATAATATAGAATTCATATGTAGGCCTAGACGTTATAATATGTATTCCAGTATTGTTTTAATATCTTCAAAAAAGGTATTCATCTTCAATAGAGCTTGGTGCTAGTGATGTTCAAGAAGAGGGAACGTTCATATCTGTTTCAAAAGCTAAGGTACTTCGTTTAAAAAATTGGTCAACGAAGGAGCCGAATGTCTATGGAAGCGGAGAGGACTGTGCTACCAAAAGGTACAGGGTTACTTCCAGAGGGAGAACAATGAATCATGCATCAGCAAGTGCAAAAAATAAATGTAAATGAAAATAAATAAAATTTTACGTTTATGAACCACATACTTTATTGAGTTTACAGATTTACACCCATTGATGTTGAAATAGAAAAACTTCTTTTCATCGAAAGAAATACTATGGATACCAGGAAATTCCAGAGGGAGTCAGGTCTTACGGGGGGAGGGGATAAGCATCTTCTATTTCCTAGTCCGACTTGAGCTCTGTGTATTAATCAACTAGAAAATGCATTCCCTTGGCAAACTGAGTGGAAAACAAATTGACTTCAATTGATATGAAACAATTTACCCCCCCCCCCCCCCACCCTAAAAAAAGAAAAAAAGGTATTAGTCAACATTCTAATTTACTAGTAATTTCTCGTTTTAATATGAAAGATAGGCAAATATTAAATTTGTTGTAACCAAGCAGTACTAAATTTTATTATTTTACTCGTGACAATTGAAGGTGTTTTTTTTTTTCATTGTCTAGTACTACATGTAATGTTCATTTAAAGTATTAATAATTCCCTGCATCGGATAGTATTTGAACAGAACATAATCTTGCCTGTAACTTTATCCAGTGTGCATTGGAAAAAGAGCTTTGTTTAATTCAATGATCTTATATACTCACCCAAACCCCATTCAAGAAATACATATATATGATTTTAGGATATAAGATAAAATAACATTAAGCCTTGAATTCCTGACCATACATTTATAAAAACATATTTTATATAATTTAAAAAAAAATCTACATTCAATCCATCTACTAAGATCCAATTATTTAATTTGATCACAAAAGTAAGCAACAAGCTTTTATGCAGGTTTGTTATGGTATGGATTTTCGAACGAACTTATGATATGCCTCAAATAACTGATTTGATGTATACAAATTTCCATAATTTGATGTCGATTTGGTTAATGATAAATAAGGAATAAATATGTTTTCCATAAATATCCCTTCGTAAAGTATTCTATACAATAAGGATACAGTTGTACCAGCTGACAAATAGTCTTTCATATGTATACAATGTTAGTAAACACAAATTTGTAGAGTAAATTTTGATCCCAGCTTTTTTAGTAAAAATACTTTAAAACGAACAAATGTAATTATTTACTGCTCAGCACGCTTTGGCTTTGGAGAAAGCTTCTTATCATTATGAAGTCATCATCACTTCCGAAAACGACATCAATACTTGGCATAAGCTTCATCGGAATATCAGGTATTTCAGTTTTTCCGTCGTTCCAACACCATTTATTTCTGTCTTTACCATAAAGTCTTGAGAACTCAATCGTCTTATTTTTAAAGCGTTCACCCAGTGCAAGAGTTTCTTCCAAAGGGAGATCATAGTCTCCAGGACGTACCCCATCTGTCCACAAGTCTTGAGTTATTCTAGGTCTTCCAAGAAATACAGACCAGTGCAAGGCTGTTGGTAGCTTACTTTCATTGCGATGTAAAGCAATTTCCTCATTTTCGCGACACAAAATCTGTAGAATTTCAGCATAATCTTGAAGGATAAGATAATTTATAATGTTGTTGTTAAAATCATCGACAATCATTACAAGATCACTTTTAGGAGGAGCAAGCTCAAGGTTAAAGAGATATTCAAAAACTTCTTTATATTGATCTTTTGATGGGAAACATAAAGTCATTTGAAAACTTTTATGCTCAGTAACAGAATAAAGTGGCCAATTTGTCTCCCCGGGACCATATCGTATTCCAATAAATGCTGTCTGTAGCAATGAATATTTTTCTTCTGTCCTAGCCTCTGCGCCCTTATAAAGACCGAAAAACTTTTTCAACAAAGAGAAATTGCCAATGTAAGATGCAAAGTGTGCACAGGTCCATTCATTTTGCGAAGTTGTGGGTTCATGAGTTTCCAAAATTTTGTCCACCACATCTTCCCATCCAAGAAGTATGCAACAGTGCAGGAGAGTCATTCCACGAGGAGAATAATGAAATTCATCGCTTAACAATGAAGTCAAGGATTTGTGTTGTTGAATGTACGATACACAGCTAAGTGTTTTTTCCCTTCCAGCAAAGTTATTAATACATTGGAGTAAAAATATTTTCAATGCCTCACGAGAAATAACGAATGATTGTGATTGTTGAGGTCCTGTAGTTTGTTGCAAGGTTTTACTCAATGCATTCAAGTTGACTCTTTCCTGGAAACCTTTTGTTGGGACAGGCAAATGACATTCATCCTGATTTCCTTCAGATTCTTTACTTATACATGAGATAAAGTGAGGTCTATATAACTCTAGCATTTTCTCCAAAATTACAGATGAATTGGATCCTGCAATTGCACACCAAATATTTCTAAGAATGTCGCCTTGATTATCACGCTCTACAAGGTTTAAAAGAACTGAAACAAAAACAGGATCTTCGGTGGCAGGATGCCACAATATTTTTTCAGCTAGATTCCAAGGATTCATTTTTTCATCATCTTGTTCGTAACACAATAACCGCTTGGCTAAATCTTCGTAATTATCTTCCAAAATCTGTAAGACAACCTCCCCATCTTTGCTCTTATTTCCTAGAGTTCGTACAAGTTCACGCAATTTTCTCCTGCTGCAGGTACTGATAACAATTTCCGGTGCAATGTTACCGAATGAAACAAGTATAGTCTCAAATACAGTTTCGTGTGTAAAAATGTATTCACCATTTTCATTTTCCTCTAAAAAGGAACCTTTAACAGACATTACTGCATCTAAAATTTTACTTCGTTTTATCTTTATTCTAGCAATATCTATTTCAAGACAAATATTTTCAAACAATTCGTCAATCATTTTATTCGGGTTAATATTTTGATTAATGGATGCATACGCTAAAACTGCATAAGACATTTTTTCTGTTAAACTTTCTGATTTGTGTTTGTCATCTATCGCATTGAATAAATTCTTATCAGGGTGACTAAAAAAATCGCATTTGCATTCGAAGAATTCTGGTCTTGAGAAGAACTGATAGCATGCAAGAGGAAATCCATAAAAAGGATCAGTGTCAATGATTTTTTCTTTCTCCCTATCAGTGAATCGCGACATGGTCATCTTCTTTACTGCATCAACACTGCTCTCATTACCTTGTTTATCACTGCGGATGTAATTATCTTCATATGCTTCAAACATTTTCTTTTTCTCATCCCTAGAGAGATAGGTGGAAATTTTTATCTCAAACTCTTCTTGAAACAACTTGTGATTAAACAGTTTTTCCCTTGCCCCAATCAGAATATTCTCCCGCAACCCAATTAAAACAAAAACATCTCCATTCTTTGCAGTTGCATATATGGAATCTAAATGCCTTTTCCAACTCTCAACAGCCCCATTATCAATATTAGTTGATCCGAGAAAATCTTCTAAATAGACAATTAAACATTTTTTTGGATTAACAGCCTTCTGCCATTGGTCAGGCGAGTTGATTATCAATGGGTTTCGTTCCGTTTTATTGCTAGGGTCACCTTCTTTTTCAAAATCGATTTCCTTGCTAAGCTCTAGTAGAACTTGATATGCAATTGTACTTTTTCCAACACCATGTTTTCCAGTAACTATTGCGATTTTGCATCTCTTTAGCGTACTGATAGTGGCATCAACCGCAGTGGTTCTAAGATACACTTTGGATAACGTGTGTTCTTTAAGAATAGCACATGTACTTTCTGAAATTAAAATGATGCATATTCTTCTTTGTAATTATGCACATGAATACATCAAGCGGTTTTTGTGAAAGATATCGAATCCTTGCAATCTTCTTTCAATATATTTATCTTGTCAGATTTTAAAGATTTACAAATTAATCTGCAATTCATTTCTAGTTCTTTGTTGTATTTCAGAATTCATGAGTCGGAAAGCAACGGTAATTCAAGACATTTTACATCTGATGTGAATAAATTCAAGATTAAAAAAAAAAAACGTTCTTTGCAAATCTTACCTGCTATTATTTCTATCCAATTTTCTTTTTCTCCCTCTGCAAAAAGAAAAAAAAATGGTGCAAAAATCATGTTAAGTACATCATGTACATGAAAAAGTAAATTGTCGAAAATCATACTCAGAAAAGAATGTCTTATAACGGCTTTTCGATAAAGAAAGAAAGAAATGCTTCTAAATGACTTACCGAGTATGTTAATCCTTTCTTCCTGTTTGTTTTGCTTACATGTTAAATCTGATGTTTCACTGTCATGTCTCAGTTGTGTTGTCTTTAGTTCATTTGCTAAAATTTCTTGTTGTTCTGAATAAAGGAATAAACCATTTGAAATCACACAGAATAAATTAAATTAATAATAAAGGAGTTGCAATAAATATACAAAAGACATCTTAAATATTCTTCAATAAAATTATAACTAAATGTACTTCAAGATTTTACAGAACTAATTAAGTGTAAATTTCTAATAAGTTATAATCTCATTACTGGAATTCTTAGCTGCTTACATCTTATATCATACACAGAATTTAATACTGGGTCAAGTACAAAATAAGACAAAAACAATCAATTTATATTAAACGCAATAATTTTTTGGAATTTAAACGCAATAATCGTTGTATATAAAAACAATCATTTCTATTGATCTTTGAAGAGTGCAATGGACCCACGCAGGTATTTAGTAGCCTATGAGGAGAATTGTTTAGTGTCAAGCTTTATAGAATCAGATTCTTCTGAACAATCATTTTCTGAATGGTTAAATCATTAACTTAATATGTACATATTATGTATATGTATATTCACAACCCATACAGTAAATACGAGAACACGAGAACTTATGAGATGGAATCATATGAAATCAAAAATAAATCAAATGAAAACTGTCACATTAAAATCTCCTAATCGAACACACAAGTCATTTGTATTCACCTGTGGGGAGCCTCCATTTTTCACTGGGTTCATTTAACCCCGTTTTATACCTCAAATCACTGGACCTTTAAAATATTGGTAAGCCCGTGCTTCAGTTTGGACACGGCAGTCCAGGTAGAAGGACGTTTTCAAAACTTCTCTCAAGATTTACATATTTGATTTGTATTATACACATGGCAGACCACTGAGGATATTTCAACCCAACCCTTATTTAGAATTTATGGTATGGTCCTGCTTCTCTGAGGTAAGCCTCATTTACCTTTGTTTTTATTATTTTATAAGTTGTAAATATCTTAAAACACCCAGATACGGAATTTCTAAAATATGCAACTTTAAGCTATTCTATTTCATACTTTTAAGTTCTGTTATTTACAGTTACATTGTATTCGAAACTGCTAAAGTCTTAAAAGTACGGTGGATTGTTTGTGTCTTTATTTGTCGGTTCTACGTTCTGTAATTACTGTTGTGAAGTGTAGCAATTATTGTATTGTATATATTGAACTGTTAAGTTTCACAGCGTAAATTGTATGTCTATATTATTCTGTGTATGATATTTAACAGGTCTCATTGATCATTCCTGTGTAGTAGTGTAGAGATGGCGGCCCGTACCAGTCACACCTCATAGTCTTGAATGCAAGACGGACGTGTAACCTCCTCGGCACTGGAGAGGGTGGAAGTGTAATCTCTTTGGCACTGGAGAGGGGTGTCTGAGCCTCCTCAGCGGCAAGAGACAGTAGTGTAACCTAAACACCGTTTGGAACCATAGACTACCGGCATTCGAGGGACACGGACAACCACACACCAAAGCAGTTTATTTTGTTGTACAATATTTTGTTAATTAAAATGTAAAGTTAATGTATAGAAAAGATTTTTTGGTTATTTATCAAAGAGGAGTTTGGATCACTATTTTCTACGCAAGGTCATTATTTGACAAAAACAGATTGGCCGATGTGTTCTACTAAATTGATATGTCTATTAATAATAAACTATAATAATCGGTCCGATTCTTTAAAGAAAAGCCGTTTGGTTTTGTGTCTTATTGAAATGTTGCAGTTTGTGAGATTTTAAGTTTATTATTATTTGAAGCAGATAAATTGGCATTTCAATCGCAAATTAAAAAAAATATTATTTTCCTCTATTCTATTGTAATTTATGCATTGTGTTTGATGCTACGTCTTACTTTTTCAAACATTGTTGCTTAAAAAAGTAATGAAGCGTTGTGTTATGCCTTTCTATCTTGACGTCACAATAAAATAAGCTATCATTCTCGAAAAATCATTAAACTGCCTTCAGAATTATTTTAAAAACAAACATTACGTCAAAAGGTGTTGCATCATAGAAGCATAAAATACTAAAAAGCATGAAAGAGATAGTTTTCACCTGTTTCAGGGAGATGAAGAATCAATAGGTTATACCTGTAATGTCCTCGATAGAATTCCAAAGCCTTGCGATAATTTTGCAGTACTTATTAGGTTTGTTGGGGTCTAGACTCTCTGTTTTCAAACGAGTCATAGGTTCAGTGAATGCCTTGCCTCCTCATCCAGAAACCGTTCTTTCAAGCTCGCCGACAATTGTTTCCAGTTCCTTCCAAATTTTATCAAAGTCCTTATCTGCAAGGGTAGTTTCAGAGGAATGCTTGTACTTGTTTCTGATTTCTCTGATTCGATCAATATTGGCAGAAATTGATCGATCTGAAGGGTCGGGAGGTTCACCCCATTCGTTGTTATGAGGCTGTATTCCCGATAAATTTCTTATAAGAGTGTAGAGTAAACACAAATCTAGTTCGTCATAACTCCCCGTAAATTGTCCACCGCCTGGGTAAAGGATTTTCTTCTGATTTTTACTCATTTTTGCTTTATTATATAATTTTTTCTTTTTTTCCTTTAAAAGATCTGGAAAATCGACCTCTGGAATATATTGTCGAAGTATGTATCGAAATAATTCTGTACATGGTCCATCAATTACAAGAAGAAGACGTATTTTATTGATTGTCTCCTTTGTTGCTACAAACTTTGTGGTGTTCATACTTGAAAAATCGTCACTTTGTGTCGTTAATGTTTATATATAAAACACAAAGAACATTCGGACTCTTTTGTTGTTGTTTTTTTTTTTCAATCATCTTGCATACACCTACGGAAGATATTGAAGTTTGATAAAATTTTTCATTTATATAAAAATGATGAATAAAATTACAGACCAGGTAGAATTTTTACTATTATAAAGCAATTTGTACATGCATGAGGTACATGTATACGTTAAAAAAATACGTTCATTTAAAAAATCAATAAACGTGTTTAAACTTGTACATTAGCTTTAATCTTTGGTTTACTATCAGAAGCAGTGTATAGATACAAGTTCATTCTCCTACGAACAATTTAAGGCAAATTTAGTTATGAAATGATAACAAAATGATGAAAAAGAACCATGATTTAACAGAATAATAAATTACATACCAAGTATGTTTACAAACGTAATATTCAACGACAATCCTTTTATTCGCTAAATAAATAAACAAATACATACTGCTCTTTGGCACTTAATACTAAAAACTTGCCCGAAGATGAATCAGATATGACATGTAAAATAATAACGACAGTTCAAATTGAAATGATTTCCCGTTTATAAGGAATATTTTTTTTATCCAACTATTAAACAAATAGCGAGCAGTTTTTGTTGCGGTAACAATAGAAGTGTATCTAAAATCATAAAAAAAACATATAAAAAATGAATACCTGAACGACAAGACAACATTTGTCGGCCCCTTTCTTCCTTTTGTTCGGTAGATATGATATTTTGAAAACATACAGACCTTTCTTTAAATATCTACGTTGTGATATGTATTAGGAAAAAATACTGCTACGTGAACACGCCCACCTAGTGATTTCAAAACATTGAAAACGAAAGTAGCGAAAACTAGTTCTCCTTAATCATTTTAACGTTCTTTATAATCATTGAATCAATTATTTCAATGAAAAAGGTTATATATCATTTTACGTTTATTTGTTTGTAAATCATAAGGTATAAAAATGCCTGCAATAATAATCGATAAAAAGGGCCAATAAGTGCACATTGACTTCGAGCAACTTTAATCAATAGATTTTAAATGTCCGCTATTCATACATGTCTACGCATCTGTACGTGTTTTTAAACAATTGCACTTAAGAGGATTTAAAAAATACCTCGACAACCTCTAAAGTTACACTTTAAAGCTGAATATTCTGTTGTTGTTTTTTTTTTTTTGCATTTTTTTTTTCCAATTTTGCTGCCTCCTCGCCTTCATGATTTTTGTTTTTTTTGTGCTGGTGCGGATTTCACACACTTATTCACAATAAATGTCTAATTCCATTAACTTTTGTCAATAAAGGACAAGATAGGGTAAGACCAGTATTTGGCCCCCGATTTTGGGTGTCTTTCAGAATGATCCAACAGTTTATCCATGAAAACCTGTTTTCACCCCTGCCACAAAAAGAGTACTGGTTTTAAGATTAAGAATATACAGAGGTCACAGTGAGGTCAGGAAATAGGTCAATTTTCGAAATTTCTCATTTTTATGCAAATTTTCACTAATTTTACAGCACATTTTCTTTCGGAAAACATAGAACACATGCTTGCCTATCTACCAAATTTATATATTTTATACACTGATATCAGATGCAGTATATGTGTAAAAATCTCAGATAGGCAAGCGTGTGCTCTATGTTTTCCGAAGAGAAATGTACCCAAAATATGATGAAAATCCACCAGAATTGAGGAAATTCGGGAAAATGTCCTATTTCTGAACCCTCTAGTGGCTTCCATGTAGCCTTTGAATCAAAATTAGTGCTTGTCTTAAAGTAAGCATCATTTTAACTTCTTAACTACAAACTATCACAATTTTATCAGTGTTCTGATTTTTATATCAAAAATTCAGCTGTTACCCTATCTTAAGTATATTTTCTATTATTTAGGTTCAAAAATATTTTAGAATATTAATTTTGAATAGACGAAAGAAATGTTTGAATATTTTTTTCAGCAAATCTTTGATTAGTTAAAATTTATTTTCTAAATATTTTCTTTAGCTTAAGGCCAATTTTTTTTATATGACTATAAATTATGCGCTTTTTCTATTTTCATACATCATTTCAGAAGCTTTAAATGGAGTTGCTATCATCAAAGCTTTATTGATATTCAACAGTATTTTCATTTTTTTCCCCCTAATTGCTATTTGTTGCAAAGAAGATAGTTATCACATTGTGATAAAAATATATATAAATCCTGATTAATAATGCTTTAAAACTTTTCATGAAGAAACATATTTGGGTAACAAATTTATTTTATACAAAAAGAACAGCGAACAATGTTCCCCCATCTTTTTCAAAAGTTATGATATTCAAATCATTTTTTCATATTCATATTGATGATTATATGAACTTTCATAAAACATTACTTTATTAGGAATACAACGAGAGATAACTGCTTTTTACTGGTAATATGGACTATCATTTCACAAATTCACAAAGAGCTTTTTGTGTTTCGGGGGGGGGGGGGTGTTGTACATATACAAAAAACGACAAATATGCTTATTGTTCAGATATTCCCAAGTGCTTTAATCACCTCCAAAACATTACTTTTTACTAATATCTGCGTCAAACAAAAAGAAAATATTTTAGTAACATTTATTCAAACTAAGACTATTTCAGAATATGTTGATGTATTATAGCCCGAGTTCAATGGAAATTGTTTATCCCTCCTCCCCATTTCAAGAGATGAAATGAAGAATATTTTACCATTCAGCCCTGGAATTAAAATAAATAATCAATTTCCCATGAACTGTGTTTTGTATTAAACAAAGTTTTATGGCAAAATTGTTATCAATATTGAATTCAATGATTCGGAGGGAATCAGGCGTGCGCAGTTCTTTTTATATGTTTAGAAATTGCAATACTTTTATCAATTCCTATGCATCTTACTAATCTGTCATTCCACGATGAAGAATGATGTCATGATATATTAAAAAAATAACAATCTTAGAAAGAAGAATTGGCTGAGACCAAAGGAAGTCCATTTTTTATCTGGCTAACGGAGAGGCGAGAGTCATTTAGTATATTCCCTAGATTTGTTTAAGGAAATTCAATGTTTTTATAGGTTTTGTGTGAATAATTGTTGTGTTAATCACATAGACTTGTCAAGTAGGCATGTTTCAGCGATTCATGAAAAATATGCCTACGTGCAAGTCTTTCTGATTTACACACCAATGGATCACACTAAACGTAAATATTCCTTAAAAGATATTCTTATTTAAATTGGGATTACAAACAAAAACCAGGTATGAGTTATAATTGTTTTCATTTTCATTTTTTGCATACATAATTATACTTGTTGTCACATGGTGCATCGTTCATTCCTTTTGGAGATACCCAGTATGTCATACAGTGCTCTCTTCCTCCTTGGTTATCTGGCTGTTCTCTTACCCAATGGCTATAATGAAGACTCTCAGCCTTAGAGACCGATATAAATTTTCCCTCCTGTTGAATATCACTTGCACCAAGCCAGATCTGAGACGAATGACCTTAAAATAACATTTAAACCTTAATTAATGTTCATAGCAAATGTTCATGTATGCTTTAACAAGCAAGAGGGCCATAGGCGATATTTCTCACCTGAGCACACTAATTTGGAAGAAAAGAAAAAAATCAATTCAGTGTTAAAAAGTTAACAGGAGGCCTGACTTTCAAACTACCTGATGATGATTTCATATCAAAATAACAAATTGTTTTTCTGTTCTAGAGCAAGGATTGTTACCAACTTATTCATTTGCAAAAATTTTACACCCATTGTGGGCCAGCACTACCCCTGTTGGCCCTCATTTGAACCAATCTGATTTAACGCTCCCTAAAGTATAAGTCACATTATCCAACGATGGGGTATACGATGAGAAACCGATGCGTTTTTTTATGAAAATGGCGTGGTTGCCGGCCGGGCACCACTAGTGATCGGACGGTGACTTAGTCTTTTTTTATCGCAAATCGGTGGGGTCATCGGTAGGAAATAATTCGTAGTTAAAATTCAGCGATGTCTCCAACGATGCCTCACATCGCTCCTCATCGGCAACCCATCATTAACACATCTTTCAAGGATCGGCCGATGTATGGCCGAGCATCGTTCAATATCCGTTGAATCTGAGGTCATCGGGGAGTTTAGTGGTGTTCAACAGATAACGACCGATCATCGGTCGATGTTCGACCAAACAATGGCCCGTAGTCGACCGATGTTCGAACAATGTTCACCAATGTCGGAGCGATGTAATATACATCGATCGATTATCCTGGAACATCGTTTTATGATTAGCAATGCATCGCTGGGCCTTTGTAAGTCCGGCCGGTAGCCACGCCATTTTTCTCATAAAACGCATCGGTTGCCCATCGTATGCCCCATCGCTGGATAATGTGACTGATACTTTAAGGACTACTAGGCCGATGTGGACCGATGTTGGGGCATCGTTAACACCACGGATTATTACCAATTACCACCGGGATACGGCCACTGGCCGGGAAATGTGACCTAGGCATAAGGATGCATCCATATTAAAATGAGTTATCATGGTTTCTCTGTTCCCGAGAAAAAAATCCTAATAAATATGTTCTTAAGTAAACATTTGATCCACAACTGTGGCCATACCTAGCTACCCCCCACCCTCCCCCTTCGGGTGTCATCACTTGAACAAACTTGAATCAACACTATTTGAGGGGGACTTCTCTTGAGATATGACCAATCATGGCTTTGCTGTTTTTTCTAGATAAAAGACTTTTAAAGACTTTCCCTATATTCCTATTTTAAAATTGATCACCCATTGTGGCGTCGCCCTACCCTGGTGGTCAGAATTTAAACAAACTTGAATCTACAACTACTGAGGATGTCACCGTATAAATAAGACCAATCACTCTTTTGCTGTTTTTGAGAAGAAATTTTTTTTCGATATTTTCCGATTTGTCTATGTAAAACAATGATCCCTACAACTTGAATTTACACTATTTATGGATGCTACAATATAAATATCAATGAAACATGGCTTTGCTTTTCTTAGAAAGAGGATTTTGAAAAATCACATACATGCATTCCTATGTAACACTTTAATCATAACTGTAGCGCAATCCTATCTCCAGGGGGACAACATACATTGTATGAACAAGCTTAAATTAACATCAGCTGTTGATGCTTCGATATAAATATACTGCTAAAAATTTTAACGATATTTCACATAAGTTTCTGTTTAAATCTTTGATCCCCAATTGCAGCCCCACCCCACGTCTTGGGTCATGATTTGAACAAATGTGAATCTACACTACCTGAGAATGCTTCCACATCTTCCATTAAAATATGACCAATCATGACACTGTTGTTCATGAGATGAAGATTTTTTTTTTGTTCGACTACTCATAAGGGTCATGATTTGAACAGCGTTAAATTTACACTACCTGAAAATGCATTAGAAAAAGTTTCACATATCCTGGCCCAGTGTTTCTTGAGAAGAAGGCTTTTAAAATATGCCATAATTTATTAAACCAATTCCTAATTACCTCCCCTTGAAAGATGGCGTTTTCCTTCAATTAAACAAACTTGTATCCCCCTTCACCCGGCTCATGTGAGCTAAAACATATACAGACATCCTTATAAAATATAAGATACTAGTATATTAATAAGTCTCAAAGGTTTAAATTTATTCATTTTAATTTAATTCTAAACATGGAAATATTTACATTTATTTTTATTTAAGCATAATCATCCAGCATTATATCTTACTTTGACAGTGTCTAAGTTATCATCAATTTATATCTGTATACCTCGTAATGGAATCTGGTTATCAAACCAATTTTCTTCCATTGCATTTTGAAGTTCTAACATTTCTGCTCCCATCAGATAGCAAGCCGACTACAAGATGTAAAAGTACAAACATAATCTTTTTGTTAACTCTTTCATATGATGTTTTTATTGCCTTGTCTTACATATACTTTTTTCAGGTAATTTTGGGCATTATCATATTTTACGTAACTAATCAAAATAATCAAAGCATGTGAATCTGATCCCCTTCTTGATTGTTAAATTGTTCACATTTATACCGTAATTTTAATAAATGACATTATTCATCTCCATGAAAGTGTTGCAATTGAATTTTACAAACCAAGAAAAAACAAACTGCAGTTATCTTGCTTATAAGCGTTAGAGGACATAAAAATTATTTTGTTGTGTTTAGCAGTTAAAAAAGATAATATTATGTAAAATTATTACATAATTAATGTTATTATTGATTATTAATCTTTCATTATTTTGGATTTAAATCATTTAAAGAAAATCGTCCATTGGTATATTGATTTATAAACGGTTTTTGAAGCATTTAAAAAAAATTATACGAAAAAAAGTTATAATAATTACTCAGTATTTTCCACAATAAAGAAATTAAACAGGGGTATTTGATATGCGTAATCAAAAGGAATCGAAATAATCTCAAGATGAATTTTTTAGCAGAGAGAAATGTGTTAATCCTGACCTACCAAGGCCTCTTTATATGGAACTGTGGATGTTGAAAAATAATAACAACTCTTTTGGTAAAAGACCCATCCTTTTTCGCAGGTTATAACCAAACCTGAAGGGGAAAAAATAAGCAAGTTTTTAAATCAGTAAAAAAAAACTGCCACATCTCTTTATCGTTCTTTTTTAATTACCTTCATAGAACGAATTGATAGATTAATCACTGCTCAACTAATTGCTTATAAGAATCATATTTGGATAACGCAGTTAAAACAGTTTTATCATAAGAAACCCTTTTTATCGAACGTTCACATTTTTAAAAAAATAATTTATATCATAATTATTTGAATATCTGTTCCTTTTTTCAATCAAAAAGAAAGGAAAAAAAAACGTACTGGTGTTAACTTTAAAAAAAATGCAAAATGCAAATGTGTACGTTTCAAAAGGTTTTCCTTAAAACAAAAACATTGTGAAACGTATGCATTTTGAGCAAACATTTTGACAGCATGCAGTTCCAAGTCATCAAGTCTTCCTTAATATACATTATCTTGTTTGATAAAATGGTAGCTATAAAATTTCTATTTCTTCTTTAATTTGTTAATACAATTATCATAGATAAAACATACCCATTTGAATAAATCTTGCAGTGCATTGTCTTCAAAATAAGAAATGCTATGTTTGACTTAAAAGGTCAGTAAATAGCTTGTATTTATAGCTAGCAAAAATTAATGACACCCATACTCGACATGACTATCATTTAAGAACAAAATACGGTATTAGCAATAATTAGCCGCAAATAAAACGATATTTTAATCATCTTTGTATCATAGTTTGATGTTATGCATTGAAGTAAGGGAGATGCGAACTAAATCCTACAGGCACAAAAATGACGTAATTTTTAACTATGACGTCACTAATGCGCGCTAAACATGGAATGGTCGTGTAAAATCGTTAAATTATATTGAAAAATGAGTAATCTTTGCTGAAATTAGACCCTTTTACATGCAACAACCACTTTTATACTCCGCATATAAGTTCATCATTACATATTGCAGTTACACTATTAAAATAGTGTTGGTTGTCACCTGTGATCAATATGAATTTTGGAAAAGTTAACATTCGGAAAAAAGATATTTTACAGACACAATTATTCTGATATCGATATTAATGACGCATAATTGATACAGAATGAGATTTTCTTATTTTAAGTACCATCACAGGATATTGTACACTATTAATACCTATGAATATGAATACAATATTTTGAAAACAAAGAATAAATGGTACCTATAGATGCCGCTTGTATACTTATGCTGTTTGTACATCATCTGCACAAGTGTATAGACTATAGTGTCCGTTGGTTGTACATATAGTATTGAAAAAATGTACTATAATATACCCTAGACCTCAATTCATTCCACAGAAATAGACAATATTTTTTTTTTCATTTATTAAAAGATTGATTTAAAAAAATCGGAAATACCTCAGTATATTTATATTTTCTACGAGTCTTCATCATTGTACATGTGTATGTAGTCTTACTATAGTCATGGTGTGACCTCCGAACAATAATATGACAACCATAAAGAATACAATAAAATGTATATGCATCGAAGACGATAACCTTTAAATATGTAACATTAAAAGCATGGTTCAACAATAAATATGTTTTAAAGCCTTTTATTGTGAAAAATAAATATTATAATATTCATGATAATAATAAATCTGCAGTATAGTTGATAGTAGTTCAACAAAACAATACACGTAAAAAAGTTGCCGAATACTTTATAGATAGTATGCACATTATTAGTCCGAAATAGCACATACAAATACAAATGTTTATTTTATTACATGTAATTTTTTTGGCAAATATTTCAGGCAGCATCATCCAAAGTTATAGATTACATGTTTACACAAATATATATTTTGAAGCTAGTGGTAGATCGGGAAGGGGGGGGGGGGTCTTGCTAAATCGTGGAATGGAAAACGGAACGGAAAATTAGTGTCAAGCAAATATACTACATTCTAAATAAATCACAAAAAAGCAATTTTCTTGATATAAAAGTCATATATAATGAAAATTCGTCTATTTTTTTAAGCGCGTTCATAAAAAGAAATATGGTTTTGAAAAAAGCGGAAGGAAAAAGGCTATTGGTGTGTGTGTATACATGTACATGTATCTGTAAAGACATACCCCGGGTATGTTTGACATTCAGCTGATGCAGACATGTACATGTATGTAGTGAAGAATCCAGGAATCTTGTAGAAAGGAGGGCAGTTTGGGATCGGGGCAGGGGCCCACAACCACACCAAAAATTGATTTATTAAATCTTATGTATATTTTGGACACAAAAGCCCCCCCCCCCCCCTTAAATCCGCCAGCTTTGCAGTGGCATGATATGCATATCAAGAAATTCAAATATAAATAGCTGAAAAATTAAAGAAAATTCTTGCAAAATAATTCAAAACATATAATTTTTTTCTTTAATTGAAGCGACCTTAGTATAAAATTTTTACATCATTGTTCCATTCCAGGTGTGTACCAAAGTTATCCTGTTATGGTTGCCTCTAATCATAATCTTCAATTTTTTTTTTTTTGATTTCAGTTTTCTCACCATGGATCATTTAGATATCAAAATTTTGCCATCACTTTTTTCAGACACTGTATACGCTTTTAACTCAATAATTGTCATTGACCCCCCCCCCCCCCCGCCTTACACATACTTTTTGTTAATGTGATTAAGGCTGACTGGAAGTAATTGTACGTTTGATGTTACCTATAAACTTCAAAACCTACGAGGGAGGAAGGGAAAAATTAAGCAAACGAAATCTTCGAAGAAATGAGTATTTACTCATTAAAATACGGTCATTATTTGTAATCATGTAGGCTTATTGTTTCACAATAGTTTTAAGTAAACTTGTCACTTTACATACTCTCAGAGGTTCACATGTTGTCTTTTTCTATACATGTAATGTATAGTTTTGCTAAAAGTAAACGAACACTTTAAAATATGTTGACTTTTCCGAGTGCCAATTTCTCCGAGACCTCCGTGCACGGTATACGAACTTCGGGCAGCCTAAAGTTGTACGTTATGTAAAAAAAAAAATGTACTGAGAGAAAATAAGTTTGAACTTGATTAATCCCCCTTTCAAATCAAACCAGCATGGATCTTTCAGGGTAAGTTTATTATATTCTACCCCCGCCCCTCTCAAAAGCAAAATCACTGCTATTTTCCTGAATAAGAGACGGGCCATAACTAAATCCACTTGTATTTAATAATGAGGGATTAAATATGCATAATATATACCGTTTATGATAAAATTTGTGTAATTCAAGGGATTTAATCTAGCTGAAATCATATTTTCCGTTTCGATCCGCGTTTTAGCAACACCCGGAAAGGGGGGGGGTGTGCTAATTTTGTAAAAAAAAAAGAAAGAAAGACTTGTACCCATGCTAGTGGAATTCTGAAAATTTTACAATGGTCAGCGACATCCAGCAGCTTTTGACTTATCTGATCAAGCTAAAGGCTCCCCTCCCTTTCATCCGTGGATTTTCGGATTAGTAGAGAGTCATACAGATGAAACAAAACAAGTTTTACAAAACCCTCCCGAATCTTTGTTACGAAGGAAAGCAGATCGTTTTTGCAAGTTGTCAGCAATAAAAAAGTGTTTTGAATTGATGTACACAGATACGGGTAATTCAAAACCTAAATCCAGGTACATGTATATCCGTAATGTCCAATGGAATACACAATCACATTCCTTAATTTGTGATCACGAAGTTCATGTACATGTACGTAGAAAAAGTCGTATCTACTTTTTATACTTCCTCTATCTTTACCAAATATTAGTACATGTTTTTATGTAATAGTAATAATAATCTTTATTGCATATTACACCCATATGGGTCAAGCAATACAAAAAAGAAACAAAATCAATGAGAACAATGAATTATATATACAATATCCATATAGAAATTTATTCCCTAAATGTTACACCGATGTGGACCTTTTAGTTCTCAATTCTAATTATTGTTTTATAAAAGTGCAAACAGCCGGTATCACTTCAAGTTTTGGACTTAGTATATATTCAAGTTTCTGTGTAGGTGATTTGAGGTAGAATGAAGAACAATTATCTAACATAACTTTTATAAGTATATTCCTTGCTTGTATATTCAAGCTACACTGTAGAAAAAAATGTGATTCATCATCAATAGTATCACATGAAGAACATAATCTTTGTTCTCGAGGTATTTTCTTATGTCTACCAGTTTCTATATAAAATGCCACCACTTCATAACATTATGCATTTTGTACGAAAGAAAACGGTATGGCGTGAATTGGGACATACAAATGAATTACATATACAATAAGGAAATCCAATCTTCTACTTCTGGAG